ACAGACACTTTCAAATACTTATTTTGTACACATGTGTTGTATGTTTTTGTATAAACCGCTTTTCGGGCCTTTACTCAGTTTTGAGGTTTGTGTACAAACTCAAGAAAAAAAAAGTATTTTATGTTTACGGAATAAATAAATGCAATTCTCTGTATACGCTGACTCAAAAGCTCTTTTTCTCACAGGGATTATGCATATTGCTGATTACTGGGATATGGTGTGTTGTTGTGTATATACACACTTATTCATCGTCCTCTTTGTGTGCTCTGATTAAGGTCAGCTACATCCAAAGCTTGGCAATAAAGATGAAAACTGCATTGATCTAAGGCTGCAGAGGATTCTCTCAATTTGTTTTTCAGACAGCAAAGTCAAAAGATTTTCTTTTCACTTGACCCTGTTATTAGAAAAATATATGCAGTTTTGTTTTTTTCATTCTTTTCTGTGAATGCTGAACATCAGTTCACATGACATTTGGCCTTAAGGGACCATACTTGTTGTGTTTTTGCATGTTTTAGTCCATTTACTCCCATCTACTTTTTTTAACCAATATTTCAGTTTACTTAAATGGAATCAGCCCTTTTCAGAAAAACATTATTTCTAGGATTTAAAAAGAACATTGTGTTAGGTTTTAAAATTCCTGAACTCAAAATAAGATAATTAAACTATGTAAAGTCATGGTCTGTAGGGTAGAATATAAATTAACCAATCTGACCTTTTCTCTCCTGATACTAATTTAGATACCCCGATTCAGCAAGCACAGATCCTATTCCAGTGCTGTCTTTCTCCAAATGTTTAAATCTATATACCTCACTGTGTGAAAATTAGAAGTTAGAAATACAATTTTTATGTTAGGTATCATGAGGCCAGAGTTTTCTGTAGCACTACAAACTTGGCAGCCCGCCCGACTTGATGAATGTAACAGATAGCGAAAACACTGAATTGTCACATCTGGCCAATGCCAATCCACTCCATAAGATCAGTATTTACCCCAAATCAGGTGGAACATACTGATGCATTCCTAATAAAGAATCGGTGAACATGGCGCAGGGGGGGTGATAAAATTCCTTGTTGCTATTTAGACCATTTTAAAAATCTGCACTGTGTGAGCACACAAAAGGCTAAAATTTTATGGATGCTGCTTTCAGGTTTGTTCCCTCAACATTCTTCTTTAATGACAACAAAGAGCACAACAACTACAGCAGATGAAGAAGATCTGAAGTAATAGAGTAACAAAATAAACCTTGAAAGAATCCACATATTTCAGATACAACAGCATCAACATTACACAAACATCAATTCAAAAACAGCATTGATAGTGTTATGGAAATGTTCTTGTGAACTGGTGAGCTTCTGAAATAAAGATATCCAAACCAATATGTCCCTATGTGATTTTATTTCTTGCGAGAAAGGTCAGTCAATCCAACAAAGCATCACGTACAAGCTGGATGGAAAAGCCAAAGATACAGTAGCAGCTAATTTATAACAACTCTAGGGTCGAAAAGAGCAAGGTCAGGTCTCCATGTAACTCGAACAAAGTGTCTTTGTTCCCTATCAGTTGGCTCCTGTGAGTCTTCAAATAACTAGGGTTCAAGCAGTAACACCATGATATGGTGACATTGTATTAGGCACAAATTGCAAAAGGCACTTTATATAAGGCAATCTAATCATTTTCCATTACAACACGGAACAAAAAGGTTTTAAGAATACCTAAAGCAGTACAAAACCAGACAAACAGCGTCTATGACAAATAAACAGTCTGTCGTCACAGGTAGATCAACATTGCTGCACTATATTGTATAGTATGTCATATACCCCATGTTGTTGGGTGCAGGAAACAAAAGATGAAAATTTTCTTTACCAACGGGACAGTATTAGTTACAAATGAGAAGAGCGAACTATGGGACGGGGGACACAATCTCTTTCTTGAAAAAAAAAAAACAGTTGAAGAAATGAATAAAATAATAGAGGAAGGCAGGAAAATTGGAAATTTCAAAAATAAATCAATGGGAGGTTTATGTACAAGACTTGCAGCAGGCGGCAGGTGTATTATTTCTTCAATGTGACTTTTTCTCTGTGGTCCGTTCAAAGCCTGCACCCCTCAGGAGGTGGTGGATCCAGCAGTGTGTATGCCTGGAGGCTGCAGTATTGCCTTTGTTAGCAAAAAAGTCTTACCTTTGGCTTTTGAAGGGCAGTGTTTGAAAAAGAACCTAAAAAGTTCACAGTCCCTTCCTCCCAGTGGGGCAATGGGAGAAGGACTGTGGAAGGGTGAAAGACTTAGCCAACAGCCTGTTTTTCATACCAAGCTTACAAGGGTATATTCATTATTTATGTCATCCAGTCCCCCCCGCAACATTCCTGTAAACTATTCTTTGATTATTTTTGCATTATGGCCACCATAAAAAATCTGAATGCCTGAGTGAATATGCAATACTAAATCACACAACAGCAATTCAATTTCACTGACATTCATCTTGTCTTTATGTTGCTTGGTTTCCATTTGACCCACCCACACTAAACATCTGCATACACTCATGACACTGTAAGAGGGCTTGAATGAAAACAACCATTTAATGATATAAATTTGAGGTTCTACAGTCTTCTCTTTTCAACAAGAATAACATCAAATCAGGAATGATTTAAAAGAAAAACAATAGAAGCTGATATTGAAAGAGTTGTTAACATTACCTGCACTGAGCTTCCCAGTAGATGCTCTAGCTGCTCAATGCTAAATTATCATTTTATAAATCCATTTACTGATTGACATTTTGATCATGCTGGCACAGGTTTCCTTTGCCCTCTGGTTAAATAGGTAGTGATACCAGATAAGAGTTATTAATATGTATGCACCTCTGATCTTACAGTGTAGAGGAGACCCCGCATCAAATATGGTTCAGATTTTTTTTTAAAATGACATTGCCTGAGGTTTTGATTTAAGATATGAGTTTGGACCTGCTATGAGAGCATACTTGAGTTTCCATGTATTTTGAGGCTGTGGAAGATTGATTTACATTTTAAATGCTTGTAAACACTGTGATAAAATATTTGCATATGGTTTATTGGTCCATTAAAAAGCCCTTTTAAGTTATACCAGTAAAACTATCCAAGAGCTTAGTGCAAATATACTGTACAGTAAATGGTAGGAAACTGTACATGGTAATATAAAATATCACATAAATGGCTAATTCAGTCATAAATTATCTTGTCTGTTTTTTCTTTCAATTTAAGCCGCAGTAGGTAACTTTTGCAAAAATAACTTTTTTCATAATACGTTGGTACTTGACAACCTGGGAATGAGACTCAGCAATCAGCTATCTGTCTTAGCTCTGATTGGTTGTGTTTGTTTTTCACAAATTATCTGTCTCACGTACTACTTTCAGAATACTTCCACAAGTGTTTCACTGAAGACTTAAAGCTACCTTGTGGAGTTTTTGACCACTAGAGGTGCTGTAGAGCAATGTTTTGATGAGCGGGTCCCAATGTTGTTTGTGTCTCATACTGTAACAGAGCTTCTGTGTTTATATTTTCATGTGCGTCCTGGTGCACACACATACACTACAAGCTTAGTGTGGAGTGATATACATTTATTATGATTGCAAAGCATGCTAATGCATATCAACAGGCGTAGTTAACCAATGAAAGAGCATAAGGTTTCAAAACATTTAAAAGTCTTTGCAGATGTTTTATAATGGAGGAAATGCATTAACATTTTAAGCAATTTATTTTTAACAAACATGATTTAAACAAAAACTTTACAATGAAAACTTAAAATGTAATCCTCTTCAAAGTAATGGTTTAGATTAAAATCAAGTCAGACTACAGTGTGTGCGTTACTTGAGTCAACCACCTTGATTTTGATTCTGTAGCAAATTGTCTTAATAACTTATCTAAAGCAACATTATGCAACTATTACCTCAAAATAACAAAAATCCTTTAGATGCTACACTGACTTGTATCAGGAAGAATGGTGCCTCTGTCATTCTCGCCCTGCGCATACTATAACACTGTAACAGGTATGATCTCCCATGAGAAGTGCATAATGCTTAACAGCAAGGCACAGTCACACACCACCAACCACCACTATGTCACTGGTAATTTGGGGAAACTAAATCTTATTTTATGGAGAAAATGTCTTCTGGTTTTCCCTCTGATGTCCTCTGACTGCTCTGTCTCAACTCTTGGTCATTTACGGAGTCTCCTGACAGACAGATAGATGCTGCAAGACACACACCGCTCTGGCCTTCTTGCTGTTGGACTAGTAAGTAATATTGGTTGGCTTGCTATGCCTTGTGTTGCTGCACTTGCTTGATGTTTGGTTGTTTTAGCAAAGTTAGGTCTACTCGCTAGTTTCTGATCTATAATCATAACAATGATGTGTACAGCTGTCCATATTTACAACAGTAGTGTATAAGGGAATTGCATTCTGAAACCAGGAAAGCCTGTGATTTTAGTCATCAAATATTAACAGTACAAATAACTGAAATTACAGTGTGAATCCATCCACTTGATTTTCAGCTAAAACCACAACATTGCAATATATTTTACATGCTGTGCATTAATATTAGCTTTGACTTTAGAATGTGTGTTGGACAATGTGTCTGTGTTGTTGTGGGTTGTAGACATTGGTGGACTCCATTTCTAAGCTAACTAACTAACGTTAGCTAGTGTTGCACACTGTTGCACACTGTTGGCACTGCAGTGAAGCGGACCGAGAAGGCACTCGGGAGTGCACATAAACGTCAGATTCATTGGATTTTCCCAGAAAATATAACCTGCATCCCTACATAGAGATCAATCCACAGTCTGTTATAGGCAATAAAAAATGATTAATACATAAAAAATAATATGTAAAATGCTTCAAAATCTTACATATGTTATCTTTAACATATAAATAGGCAATGTGTGTCACTTTAATTTTAAAACAACAATTATATTGTACATATTGTCTATTATTATCATACATTTATATATATATATATATTATTATTATTCATTTTATATGTATGCCTCTTGACTTGCAGTAGTTTTCTTTCTTTTTGATCTATATTTAATCGTAATTCATCTATATACCAAGGGAAATTCCTTGTATGTGAAAACCTACTTAGCAATAAAACTAATTCTGATTCCGAGTCAATGTTTTTGGATTTTTGTGGAGTAGTTGATTCGGTTTAATAGCTAATAAATAAGTGAGTGATAAGTAATTGATCTGGATTAGTGTTAACTGTGTAAAAGAGGGCAATTACAAGTGTGTGTCACTTTAAGAGTCAGTGTTCTTGATTTAAGCGGGGTAGCTGATTTTGGTTTAGTATGATCTGTGTAAGTGACATTACAGTGTGTGTGTGTGTGTGTGTGTGTGTGTGATCACAATACCTCTTGATGTCATCCGAGTTGCTGATTTGGTTGACTGACATATAAGAAATTGAGATTCCATACAGTGTGAGTCACTTTAAAACTCAAAAGTTACTGATTACATCTGAGTGGCTGATTTGGTTTTTTAATAACTATTCCAATAAATAATTCCGAATGTGTGAGTGTGTGTGTGTTACTTTAAGACTCCGTGCTCTTTATTTTGGATGAGTAGCTGATTTGGTTTGGTATTAACTGTGTAAATAAGTGAGATTACAGTGTGTGTCACTTTAAGAGTCAGTCTTCGGGTGGCTTCTTGATATTAATAGAGCTGCTGTGTCTTCCTCCTCTGACGTAATGCCCACAGCCTACAGAGAGACAAGCAGAGAGGTCCTGTCACAGCAAAGCGATAACACTAGTCTGAACCAAAAAAAAGAGAGAAATTACAGATAACGAGCTGCTCCTGGCTTTGGTTTGCTGTGGCCAGCAAATCCGGGGCTCTGGGCGGCTTAATAACACAACTATAACATCGGAATATTAGAACTCCAGAGCCAACCTAACTCACTAATCAGTCGGTATCAGTGTTTGCCGTGAAGCCTTAACTATCTCTCTTTCCCTCTCAGACCAAAGAAAAAAAGAGACAGCCAAGACACAGTCACCCCGTCCGACATCATCAACAAACAAAAAAAAAAAAACCCACAAAGAGACGAACCAGCCAGCCAACCAGCCAGCCAGCCAGCCAGCCACCATCTTAACAGGCTGCTTGAAAGAGACACACACTGAGAGAGAGAGAGAAAAAGAGGCTAATGCTTATTTTTGATCAACAGGTAAGCAGCACCAAAAGAAACACACTACCAGCACACCATGCAATACAGCCCTCTCTAGTAGTTGGTGCAGTGACATTGTAAAACGGCAAAGAAGAGAAGGGGGGAAAAAACGCATCGGCGGTGCATGGGTTTGGAGTTGTAGATGGCGAAATGCATGCTCTCGGATAAGTGGCAAAATGAGATTTGTTCGTCTCGAAGGGGGGAAGCCGGGCTATCAATGGTTGCGTTTAGGAGACATAATATCGCTCTGTTAGCCGTTAGTAGTTTTACGACGGGCAGCAGTCGGTTTGCGTCTTATGTAACTAACGGCCTGAGCAGCGTCGGTAAGGAAAGAGGGATCTGCTGAATGAGAGAGAGAGAGAGAGAGAGAGGAAAAAAGAGCAGCACCGCTTTGAATTCACATGGCAATTTACATTTAGGTTAGGACACCCAAACGCTACACAAATACAAATTGAGGGGGCTACTGGGGGACGGCTACCGCTTTTGACTTAACACTGAGTTTGTGAAGCCGACAGCAAGGGGACGTGGAGTGACTTAGTCGCCCTCAAAGTAGGTTTGTGTGTGTCTTTTTGTTGTTGTTGTTGTAAGTTTTGTTTCTTTTTATTTTTTTTTGAGAGGGGGCATTCATTTACGATAAGTCGCATCTTTGACTGAGCCGCTACAAGCCGGCGACTCGGGGTGATTTTTGCAACTACAAAGTAGCTCTCGTGTAACTTCTGTGTGTTACTTTTTTTTTCCTCTTCTCGTTTTCATTGATAACTTTTTTTCGTTACTATTCTGACTGCAAACTTGATACTCAAGTTCAGATTTCTTGCTCCTCCGAATGACGCACGTCGCGGAGAAAGAGTGGGGGGAAAGGAGTTTTGTGCTGAAAGATGAACACAGTTAGGGTGCCTGTAGTTTCTTTTATATATATGGGGGGCTAAAAAGTGGAAAAGTAGTGCAGCTCTGAGATCAAAGAGATTGTGTTTATCAACTGGTTTACAGCCGATATGGCGCTGTTTTGTTTTTTATTGCACCTCTTTCATTGTTAGGAAGCTCGAGAGCGCATGGTGGATGTGAATTGTCGTTAAAGACCCCCCCCTCCTTCCCCTAAACATCCTGTCTTATCAACAAGAACAACAAGTACTTATTAGCTCAAATGTAGCGTATTTATTTATTTGTTGTTGTTGTTGTTGGAACTTTTCTTGAAAGCCTGCGTTGCATTTCCACTCAACTTTGAAAAACTTGCGCACCCCCCCTCCTCCTCCTCCTCCTCCTCCTGTGGTAAGAAACTGTGATGTTCCTTTGAGATAAGGGAGCTGGGTAGGCATGACAACTCTGTGGGGAGAGCAGAGTATGTGAAGCCAGTACAATGAGGCACACACTGCAAGGAAGCTTTTTACATAGTCCTTCACAGTTCTCCAAATCTGGCCCCCCAAAAAGAACTGCTTATGTGTGGACCGACTTTTATTCAACAGATAACCTCAGTACATTATTTTAAAAAGCAGAGCAGGCCCGTGAGACTTTACTCTGACCCCACGCTTGTTCGCAGTTGTTTGAGAAAAGCAGAGAGAGTTTGTATTTTAACAAGTGATTAATTGATTAATTCCTTTTTATTTTCATTCACTGGCGTTAGCCTTGTGAGGTCGCAAAACATTTGTAGGTTATTTCTGCAGTGCTTTAGATATAAAGCATCTATGTGTGAGTTTTTAACTTCACGGCATTTCAGTGTCAAGTAGAAAGTTTGTTGAAACGTTGCACTGGCTTTTTTTAAAAAGCACTTTAGAAAAGAAACAGTGAGTTTGAGAATGATATCTGTAACGCTCATGTAAAAAGTTCTGGCTTCCAATATTTCCTTTAAAAGTTTTTACGCTCTCGGCCACAGCTGTAGGGAAAGGTTACACACGCATCCTAAAACTGTGGGGGATCACTTGAGGGAAAAATACAAATAGAAAAGAATTATTCATGAAACTTGGTTTAGTTTGCTTTGCACTTTTACAAGCGACATACCAACGCAACTCTAATTCCAAAGCTGTTAACTCTGGAGTATTTGTTTAGACTTTTTAAGCACATAACTTTTTTTTTCATGAAGGACAGACAGCAGCATACGCCACACATCTTCTGTAAGATTTCAGGAGTATGATAGATGGCTGCTTTTATTACTTTTTTGAAAACAAAATACTTTAGAAAGTCAAACAAATGTTGTCAAAGTTGAGTCAACTTACTGTAGTTTGTTAAGAGCTCTGGATATTTGTGTCTCAGTTAAGAGTTCAGTATTTAGTGGATTTGTGTGACGCACAGCTCCATGTGTAACTTTGTCTAACAGGTTTTTCTATCGCTTTTAAAATTGTATTTTCTGTTACCTGGCACAGATGATATCAGATTTTGTAGTTTGATATTCATAACAGCATCTTCAGGCACTTGGTAAGTAAATCAAGTGCTTTTAACTGACATCAAGTTTTAATTTATTTGGGAATTTCCATGTGCTCTCTGTCCATCTGGCCAGTTAATGTTTCTCTCTTGTTTCCACGCACCTCGAGTGCGACACACTCCAGCCTCAGGGACACTTGCTCCTAACTTCTTCAAATAATTTTGCTCTTTTATCCACTGATATCGCACATGTAAATATGCCTTTGTTAAACTTTTACAAAACATTTAACAAGATCCTATAAAGTGTGTAAAAACATTTGAACTAGCAGTGTATCAATCTATAACTTTTAAAAATGTTCCTCTTTCCAGACACTGGATATTATTGTATCTTACGGCCTTGTTCGTAGCTGCTATTAAACGTCAAAACAGTTGACGACTTCCTAAAGAGAACCTCTGCTTGTAAAACTCTTTCCCGTATGTGTGTGTGAGACAGAACACTTTTTCCTGTGTGTGTGTGCGTGTGTGTGCGCGCGTGTGTGCGGAGACAGCCATGGCTTACTCATATGGCTGCAATATGTGAAGTCTCTGCGGTGGAACTGGGAAGAGAGAGAAAGTTTTGAGAGAGAAAGACAGAAACAGAGAGAGAGAGAACACATGGAGTGAGGGAAGTCAGAAATGTCCTGTTCAACTAGCTGGAATGTATCTCCTGTGTTTTATTGATGGTTTGATGTTCTGTAAGACATGAGGAACAACTGTAGTGATTTTGTGGGCTGCCATGCATTTTTCTTTGGTCGTTTCAAAGCAGGGCTGCATTACAAGGGAAAAAAGTTTGAGATGGAGTGTAAAAGGGCCAGACGGCATGATGTTATAGACGAGGAAATTTGTTATGGACCGTAGTTTCTGTCAAACTCTTCTACTTGCAGTCATTGTAATTGATAATTGTCAAGATAGAAAAGAGTTTTTTTCTTCAAATGTTTTTGGAAAAAGGCTTGATGTCAGTGTATTTGAAAAAGGCAAAGTTATATGCAAAAGGCAGAGGAAGCAAGAAAGAAAATAGTGCTGTCTTAAAGCTTTTTTTTTTTACTAATAATGTGTCAAGACCGACACAGTAAAATCCAAAAAGTTTACAGGATTGATAGAAGTTTGTTAAACTTAGGCCAAATATCCCTTGTACCTCCCTATGATACAGCAGAAGTTTTAGGGCGAGGTATTTTTATTTGCCTTACAGTACCTGCTAAAATCTGCCATTGCTAAGGAGAAAGCCATAACTCTGCCATAGCCTCAGTCTCTCAGTCACTGCTGTCTTTCTCCTTATTATCGGGCCTGATCCGAGTCCTGTCTCAGAGAGTTGTGTCCTGTTTCCCCTTGTCCTAATTGTATTTCAGTTAATCTTGGTTTATTATTGCAGTTCTCTAAACTGGTATTCTGTGGGTAGATGGGATATTAACGTGCTGGCAAATGAGGTAATCCCATTAAAAGACCTGTTGGCCACTACAGAGTGAGAGAGTGTATGGGAAGTGCAAAAGAGTTGTCTCCCTGATCTTAGGAGAGAGCAGCCCTCTAAAATCAGTTGAGCTAAATATTTTGCATTGTTGAGACAGTCTGACTGTTGGTTGCTACTGGAGTGACTGAAGTGGTAACAGGAGCAATTGTTTAAGAAGTTAGATTTGACTGTTTTATTTAAGTTTTATTTCTGGCTCTGGATAATAAGACATATGGAAAGCCTTGGTGAGAAAATATAGCACATGCAAGTGTTCCAAGCTGACATTTACCTAACATCTCCATGCCTCGACATTAAGCTCCTGTGTTAATACAATCTAATCTGTATTCAGTCAATCTTAGCAACAAGAAGGCTTAAGTTGTTTTTTTCCTCAAGGTTTTTTTTTTTTTTTTAAGTGTTTTTCTTCATGTGGACTCACAAATCTCATTTATTTATAATTTCTGATCCCATTTATTTATGAACATGGACTCTTATCTCTCACACTGTTTCCAATAAGCAGGAAAAGATAGCATCTATTAGAGCAATCAGCCGGTATTCATCTCAACCCTGCCTGCAGTTCAGATAAAGGAAAACCTCCATTTGTCACGGATAGTTTATTTAAAGAAAAAAACCTCTTTGCAAGGCTTCTGGCTCTCTTGGCTCAAAGCTCTGCAGCTCACACTCCTTTATTACCCAGTCTCTTGTTTTGCCCATATCCCAAGGACACAATTGTTTTTAACTTATTTAACTGTCTGGGCGCATTGTTTTTGGCTCTTCCATTGCTTTGTATTAGCTGCTTGTAACGTCTGTGATACAGGGATTTGAGCTCATTCTCCTGTTGCATTTACTGGAAGTCACTCTGGAAAAGAGTGTCTGCTAAATGCCCAAAATGTCATCCCCACTCTGTCTGTGGTTAGTACAGCCTTGTTTAGGCTTGAGTTTGTCTCTAATGTCTTTGGTCTTATTTTAGACTTTTAAGTCTGTCTTTTAGACGGCCTGCTTCAGATAACGAGCACATGGTCTTGGTTTAGGGTGAAATTAATCTTTTTTTTTCTTTCCCCTTTTTTAAAAAGTTTTTGGGACAGACAAATCCTAAATATGGGACAATTTTTCTTCCTTTGATCTGAGAGAGAGTAAATAATCCTTCTGTCACGATACAGTGGAGACT